AAGGCGTTTCTCCCATCCTGTGTGTGTGTTCATCAAAGTACTGAAATGGAGGCTGTCAGTCATTCATTGACAATGCAGCAGAGTGCAGAGGCGACATAGTTAATTTCAGTTCTTTTGGAAATTTGAGGTTTAGCACATGCAGTCCAAATAAAACTGTTACAGCAGCTGCAGTTGAGGGCACGTTACTGAGGACCTCTGTGCTCTCAATGCTCTCACTGATGAAGATGGCCATTGGTTGCTCCGGCTATCACCTGGCATATCCTGGCGAGACAATACATAGTAATGAATAAAGAGTGCTAACCAAACAGTTGATGGAGTATCTCAGAAAATTAAAATATCACATATAACCAATAAAAACAAGGATTTGTAATACAGAATGTATGCCTTAAGAAAAGCATTTTCATGTTCAGTCAGTAATTGGTTGGAACACTATTTTTTCCACGTCAGTAATTGTTTGGAACACTATTTGTGGAACCACTATGAGTGGTTGGTAGCACTGTTGCCGTCTTTTATTTTTTGGGTACAGATCTCGTAGCCTAGGCTGCCTACAGACGCGTTTTTTTTTTTTTTTTTTTGACGGCCTGCTTATGGGGCGTGCAGTTAGCGGATCATGAGGATGAATGATCATTTATGTTTGTGCCTGCAATCGCTGATACAACCTTTAAAACAACCTGGGCATTCAGCTGTGCCACATGCAGATTGCCTCCATACTGATGCAGCAATTCAAGCAAAAGGAGGCCAAAATACCAGGTATTTAGTGCATATACGTGAACATAGCTATAAGCTGCAATCAACAGAAGTAGCACAAATAATTGCGTGAAATATATATATATATAATGCATGAGTTACACTTTTTTGTAACTTTTTTTTCTCAAATTACTGAACTTAGACTACATTCTAATTTTTTGTATGTACTGTATGTACAGTATGGAAGTATGTGCGTGGATTGCTGAGCGATGTACGTACCTGAATTTTCTTGATGAGATGGTGAACAGATTCACCAAAGCAGATGAATAAACATTTAAGAACTGATTCCCTCCTTGTGTTGTCCACGACCTGAACAAAATGCATTCATTAAAATAACATGCTCCTTTTTTATCACATACAGTAGAAATACGGTTTGAAAAAGACAAAGTATAATGAAACATGATAAAAAATTTGACCATTCATCATGGAGCATTTTTTTTTATAATGCCATGCCTGCCTGACACATTTAGAACACATTTAGCCTAAAGGTGCAAAAAGCTCACAATGTTAGTGTTAGGGGCATCATGCTCAGTATAAATCACTGTTTTATAAACCATAAACAAGGTTCAAAGTAGCCCCACACTTCGTTGGTAGTATAATTAAGGTTCTAACATTTGAAACAAGGCATTGATAACTTTGTAAGTGTACATATAGTTTATTAAAAAGACTGTTTTTATTGAAACACAGTAAAGTTACCTTGACTTCTCCAATAATCATTTGCTCCTGCCCTGCAATCTGTATTGAACGCAAAAACAACTTACCCGTGTCAGTGAAGACTTGACAGACAACCAAAACTGCCCAAAACTAGGAACCATGCCAACCAAGCAGCAGCTTTCCTAAAATTCAAATCCAAACAGTCATTAATCCGTTTTAGTTTTGCAGTTTCAAAGTGTAAATTTATTTTCCTCACATTAATTTCCGCCTTCGCAAATTTAATACATAAAACATAACGTTATAAAATCTGCGTTCATATTGAAAGCCGGGGGAGAGGCAGTTAGCCTGACTTTAAACTCTGGGCGGGAAACGTTAACGTTAAGTTGTTAGCTAGCTAACTTAAACGTCACTCCCATATTGAGGTGATTCATTTAACGTTAGCAGCTAATTGTCGTTACTCAAAACTCAGTCATGAATACATCGTTTTTTTAACAACATTCATCATTTTTTCCTTTCATAATATCCATTCAATCGGTCTAACGGTATATAATCTTAAGTTCTTGGATTTCCCTGGAAAATCGTTAGCACCTAGCTGTAAAATGGCGCGTTAACGCTACTTACCACTATAATGTCAAAATGAATGTTATAATAACTTCTAATCTGCGTGTCTGTTCATTAAAATGATATGACGTTAATACTTTTCAAGTATTTAAATGCTGAATGGTACCCCCTTACCTGACAAACGTGTCCTGTTCGCTTCGCGTTGTTCAACAGATGACTCTCCGACTTCTGCGCTCGGTCTCTTCTAGAACCTTCTCTCGAGTTTTCACGTGTGCGCATGCGCAAACCATGCTTTATCTAATAAAAGTCGTTTGATCGAATGTATAATTTAAAATTCATTGTAATGTTATAATTTTATATTGTACCAATCTAAGAAAATAGACTGAAAGACACATACAAATCACAAAATGTAATTTTACTTAACAATCTAATAATTTTAGGCTATTGGAATGAAAAAAAAAAAATCAAACGAAAAACACCAATGTTTTACTTTTTACAGTGTGGTGTGCAGTGAATGTAAACAACAACAATCTGATTTGGCAAGTTTGATATAAAGCTGAAAGGGGAAATGAAACTATCTGTGTGAATTTGGGCTGGGCAACATGAAGATAAATTATATATCTCAATATTTCTCTTTTCTTTTGTTGATTTACATTATATCTGTTCACATATTTGCTATAAATTTTTTATTGGCTGTATATTTTGATCAGAGGAACAATCATGCCATTATTGTGGGTTCAAGTCCAAGAGAAACTGATAAAAATAAGTCACATTAGATAAAAGTATATCTTACAAATGCATAAATGTCAATGCTTTGTGATTGACTTTTATGCAGGAACTGAAGTTTACATTTGAGTAAAATTTATTTAAACAACTCATTCTTGGTTAAATAGTGAAAGAGAGCAGATATTAAGATGAGATGTGACACGCAAGAATCAATACGAGGAGCCAGTTTAATTTTCTTCTAGCTAATTTCATCTTTTTTTCCTGTGTCTCATGAAGCAAGTAATTGAGTTTGTTTCAACTTGACAAAAACCAAAAAATCCAACCTAGATTCTTCAGTTAGTTAAAGGGTTTATGTCATACTTAATAACAAACAGATTAATAACAAAAACAGTCTTTATTCAGTAATACATTACACTTTTCCGCCTCGTTTCTGGCCACCTGAATTAAAAACTCTTAAGATTTCAATATAAAAATCTTAACGTCAGAAATAAGTATCAACATGCCAAGCCACAGCATGTGTGAGACTGCAGATAATCTCTGAATGAGGGAAACTGGAGAATATGTTTGAGCGAATGTAATCATTTACAACCTCGAAAAAACATTTCATCCATAACTTATTATATGGGAAGCACATCAGAAACTATTAAACGACTAAAATAACAATGAGAAAACAGTTTTCTTCAGAGCTGAAGTAATGGTCATTTAACAGATTTAACATTATCAAGAGCGATTGCCTTTGTTCAATTCCAACTGCTGTTTTAGTAGATGTTGGCAGCCGTTCCAAAGAAAAACATGAAGAATTTCAACTCAAATGGTTAATGATTAAAGTCCCCCTGTAGTCAATCATTTTATCCCTTAAAACTCATCTTTTATCACCAAAATTATATATTTAAACGTTGAACAAAAATTCTTCATACCTTAAAATAGCTTGAATGTAACACTAAACCCTTGCCTCATTTGGTATACGCAGTTCGATGAATATGCAAATTAGCCCCGCCTCCACTCACTCACAGCAGCTCAGAGATCCACTTCAGTAGCAAGTGAATGAGATCTAAACAAAGAGTTAATATAAAGAGAATTCTGTAATTTATGTTTTTATTTATGCATAATTATGTAGCCTAAAGGCTGATTTATACCCCGGGGGAGGGGTTCGTAGAATTGAATTTTTAAATTATGTATGTACACACACACACACACACACACACACACACACACACACACACACACACACACACACACACACACACACACACACACACACATATTGAGATATGGTGTAAATGACATTATGATATAAATGTTTGGGATGGTACAGAAATAATACAATTTTCGTTTGTTAGCAGACAAATTAAACAAACTAGTGTGAAAATATGTAGTAAGAAAGTTTATTTTCTAAAAGTGCACACTTGAAGAAACATTTGAAATGTTAACATAACATTAGACCAAAATCAATATCAGCATTAACTTGTTTTGATCCAAAGTCAGATTCTTTTGTGCTGTAGTCACTATTACCGGCTTCAAATTACTGTAAAAATATATTGAAATGATACACTGCATAAAAATGAAAATAAAGAACCAATAAATACACAACAGCATGGAAAAATCATGAAAAAAATAACAAACTTCACAGATTCTCTCTTTAAATGGGAATCCGCTATTGTAAATCCTAATATTTGCAGCATTATTGTCATCTTCACTAAAAACTGAGTAAAAACAGCCACAAACCCCATTGAGAGCATCACTCCAACTGAACAAAACAGGAATAACTTGAGTGCAAACACTAGAGTTGTCTGAGTCTGCATTTGTTCTGGGTTAATGGAATAAATTGTCCATAAATGAGCCCCGACTGCGACTCCAGGAGCCGCGTGACACGCGATGAACACATCTGACCACGACCTGACGCTGGCAACTGTTCCTAGGGTCAGTCCTAGACCTGATATGAACACTATACTGGGAAATGCAAAGATCATGATCAAATACATTATGATTTGATGTCCGTGTCGAGAATTCGATAAGTCATAGTATGTCACTGCAATTGGGAAAGTTGAGAAAACGATTAAATTAAATGGAACAGCAACATTTGGATTCAGAAAGTATCTTAAAGTGACCGTAAAACTAACAAGTGCAAACAGTATTTTTCCAAAATAAAAATGTCCATGCTGTCCTTTAGAGAAAATAAGTGCAGCATTCAGTAAAATAAGTAAAATCCATCGTGCAATTTTGACTGAATTGTCATATTTTAGTGAGAAGAGCTGATTTTCTTCATGCACATCTTGTCTGGTCTCTTCTGTTTTTAATGTGTCTGTCAATACCGAGTAAAACCCGTGAGCATTGAGCTGAACTAGCTTGTGTATTTCCGCTACGAGAGCTGCTGTTTGAGCAGGTTTGGGTTCAGAGTCTCTGATCATGTGAAATCTGCCTCCACATGCGTTGATCATTTCTCCAGCGATCCCTCTGGACGCTCCTGTCAAACGTTCCTGGTGATTTTGCTGCAGAAGAACAATGCAGTGCTGAAGAACTTCTGCTCCCAGCAGATCCTGGACTCGTTTCACAACATCACACTCTTCTGATTCTTGATCTTCCAGATTCAGGAGCATTAAAACGGCGTGAGGTCCAGGAGCCGAGAGAACCAGCGCTGTTGTGAAGCTCTGTGTCGCTGTGTCGTCCTCACAGAGGTTTGGTCCAGTGACCAGCATCATTCTACGACCCTCGTCTGTCATTACTGGAGTCTTTACAATCTCTCTGTCCTCCTGTCCACCGGCTTTCCTTCCTGACAGAATCTCTGCAGCGCTGAACCTGGAGTCGCCTCGCATTCCCACTATCAGGATCCTCACTTCATCATCATCATCATCATCATGAGAAGCTGAAGAGAAAGTTAAAAATGAAAATATCAGAAAGTATTATTTGAATTAAAAGTGAATGATCTACTAACTTTACAGTGGTTGGTCTCTAATATAATTGCTGAAGTAAGCCATTTTTTGTGTTAACCCTCTGATGCTTGTATTTGTGGTCAAAAGGACATATTTGCTTACCCACAAAATGCCATTGACTTACATTAGGCCTATATTACCACCCTGAATGCATGGTGTCCACTAAAGTGGTCAGATTTATTTTCAGTTATCAAAAGTAAACTACAACAAATTATGATAATTTTTAAGAAATTATGCACAAGAAAAAAAAAGAGAGAGAGACACGTGTGATTTAATAATGCATGCATCAGAACAGTAAAGAGCAGATATACATTTACATGACATTGTCATTTGTACATTACCTTCAACATGTATAGATGTGATGTGAAATGCAAGGATCAGTGTGAAGAGCCATTTCAGTTCTGTCCTGTTTAGTTTCATTTTTCAACCTGCAGAGTAAAGCCACTGTTAATCTGTAAATTTAAAATGTATAACCAAAGATATCCCTAAATTATGAAGCATATTTACTTACAGTACGATCGTTTCATTTAACAGCACTGACAGTGAAGTTGAATCCTGTTTGCTTGCTTTCACTTTTGACACCTGTGTGATTCCCCAGCTATATTTAGCTGGGAGTCGTATGTCCACTCATAATGAGTGTTGAACTTGGATTGTAATGGACTGTATTAGGTAAATATTCTATTTGTGTCATACAGTTGAGAACCTGTTACAATCGATTCGGTTCATAAGGGAGCAATCCGAATGTTTAACCCTCTGATGCTCTTCATTTCGAGGTCACAGCTTGTTATCTTCCCGGTCAGAAGTGACCGGGCACCTAAAAATGAAACTTTCTCCATCCCAGTAAAACCAATGCAATTTATTTTTGTTCAATAATATTTTTTCTTTTTAAATTTGTATTTTGAGAGAATTTGATGTTACTTATTAATATTTATGCAATATTTATGGTCAATTTTTGCCATTAAAAATAATACAAAAAAATGTTTTCCTAATTTTTTAAAATATTTGTTCAATTATTGCAGTATTTCAGATTAATACAGAGACCAGACCTTTTAAATCCAATTTTTGAAGTCAGATTAGCGCCATCTGTTGAGAGAAAATAAAATAAAACATGTCATTTCATAGTGTAACCACTAGATGCCTGTATAGCTGTCTATGGAGAGGCTTGTGAATTCTCTAGTTGTTTTTGGACAAAATTACTTACTTTTAAGATGTGGATTTGAATGTATTTATTTTTTAAATTCTCAAATAATACTTTTTTCCATGGTTTATAATTTAAAAAATATTAAATAAATTTGATGTGAAGTGTACACGTTTTTGCATTATTACTACAGTCAAACCTGAATACAGAGAAAGCATTTTGTTACAGGTAACATTACAATTCAATAAAAAAAAAATAAACAGTAATGCTTTTTCACAGCTCATTATTATTATTTATATTATTATTGTTATTATTTTTAAACATATTAATTTATTATTTTTAAACATTAGGCTATATTAATTATTATTTTAATAAATTTAATAATAATTATATATTATATTATGTATATATTAATTATAATAATTAATGATGTTATGTTTTTCACTATTGATGTTTTGTTTTCTGCATTGTGGCCGATTTGTAGAGAATTTGTGTTTGTCAATTTGACAAATGGGTGTGTGTGTCTGTTTTGCACTCTTGGTGTTTTAGAGTGTCACCCCTTCATTGTTGAGCACTTTTTTTCTGCATCGTGGCCGATTTGTAGATTGTACACACACTTTTTGTGTTTTTGTCAATTTCCCATTCATTTCCTATGGTCGGTCGTTTTTGACCGAAGAGCACAAGTGTGGCTATTTTTTTACGACCAGTTAGCCTGCTCGGATCCTGCAACATTTTTTGTGTTTACATAATGCCATAAAAGTCACCAAGTTTCGTAACGTTCCGATGAAGCTGTGATTTTTTAAATTTCAAAACAAAAAAAATTTCGGTCAGAAAATTACCGAAGAGCACCTGAGGGTTAAGACTGAATCACCAAACAAACAGATCATTTTACTACTCAAAAGAACCGACTCAAAAGAGTCATTCATTAGCGAATCGTCATCGATACTAGTTCTGAGCTGTCACAAAATACACGACAACACTGGCAAAATATTATAAGTGACGGTGTTCCCCAGTCGGAATACGAAAAAAATGTATAGTCAAACAAAGGTATTTCAGTAATATTTTAGCAGGTTACCGCAGTATTGTTCTGACGCGCGTTCAACAGTGCAGAGTCCGGTTGGACGCCAGTGATTTACAGCGACTCTCAAGCCCCGCCCCTTGAGCTGAAACAGGAAATATGATTGGTTTGGAAATATGCCTCGCGGTTAAGACCGATCTTATACTCTCTAAATATGTTTAATTTGCATCCTTTTATGTAATTTGGTCTTGTTTTATTTTTAATTTAATTAAATTTTATGGTTATTGTTTGTCTTGTATGCCTGTTTTAGTAGTGTATTTGTCAACCCTGACATAAACAGATGTTGTTGTATTATATTGTTAATACTGGCAAAAATATATATATGCCTCGCGGCTGAAATGAATGTTCTGATTGGATTTTGAGTATATAAAACTTCTATTCTGCTCGTGCCTTCGGTTTTAATACGTGTTGTAAACTCGGTAAAAACTGATCTCTCCCAAGCTGTTTGACTTTGGTTGCATAAGGATCTATATGACTATGAATGACTCTTGCAGGTAAAGACATTTTCAAACACAACAGTTTCAGTAGGCAACACGAAAGCATTTAAAATACAATGATGACATTACCATGTTTTGGACATAAATAAATACCATGCTACTATATTCAGGTGATCAATAACCTAATCAATAAAGGTAATAACCAAATCACAGTATGCTATTGCCATTTCTGTATATTACTGCCACAGTAGAAGGCTATTTTTTTAAATAACTTGTTTGCTTAATGTCTTTGCTGACGTCATAAAATTATAACATATCACTATTATTAGCCATTTTGTGGTCAACAGCCTTTTTCCTGTTATATTTATGTATGTAAAATATGTATTTGTGTGTATATTATATAAACACACACACGGTGTCATTTGGTGGTGGTGTTGCTGTTTCTTCTCCAAATTATGAATGCTCCTAAAAATAATGCTACATAACAAGAACTGACTAAGCTTTCTATAAGTACTTTGAGGAAACTCATCAAAAACAGTGCAAGAACAGTAAAACCGATCACTTTCTGTAGAGTTTCACACTTTAATTGCCAATATTCCATTGTAAATCCTAATATTAGCAGCATTATTGTCATGTCATCTTCACACCAAGTAGAGCAAACAAACCCCACTGAAAGTGTCACCCCAAAAATACAACAAAGAAAGGACCCGAGCACACACTCTAAAAAATGCTGGGTTGTTTCAACTCAAATTTGGGTCAAATATGCATGGACAAACCCAAATGTTGGGTTAAAAATGTAATTAAAAAATGTACAGTTGAAAGTGAAAGTTGAAGTTGGGTTAAAATGTTAAATTACATTTTTAACCCAACATTTGGGTTTGTCCATATTTGACCCAAATTTGGGTTAAAACAACCCAGCATTGTTTAGAGTGCAAAGACTGGAGATTCACAACTCATCGTTTCACTATCTCTGAAGTTTAGGCCGCTGCTAATTCTGCTCAAATTAAAATCTTTGATTACTGTGGTCTTGTAAATATTGTTGCTAATGATGTTATCAAGGCCAAATTTAGCGGTAGGCTATAGCAACATCTGGACTCAGAACATGTCTTAGAAAGACCAAAAACAATATAAGGCTAATTTTGCCCCAGAATAAAAATATTTGTGCCTCGCTTTAGTGTAAACAACTGTATCACACTCTTCTGATTCTTGATTTTCCAGATTCAGGTCCAGGAGACGAGAGATTCCCACAATCAGGATTTTTACATCATCATCGTGAGAAGCTGGACGGGAAAGGTAAAGATTGAAATATCGGGGTGAATCACACAAATGTTTGGATATGACTTAAGGGTGTTTTTGTAATGATAGGATAGGAACGATCATGGTCTTAATGCCATCATCATGGATTTAATTCCCAGAGAACACACAAACTGATTCTTAAAGGAGTAGTTCACTTCAGAATTAAAATTTCCTGATAATTTACTGACCCCCACGTCATCCAAGATATTCATGTCTTTCTTTCTTCAGTCGAAAAAAATTAAGGTTTTTGAGGAAAACATTCCTGGATTTTTCTCCATATAGACCTGTTTCAGTTAGTAAACATGGTGACATTTTTTTGTGGGCGGAGCTTAGGTGGAGGCAGAACGATCCCTCTGGCCGCTTCACTAACGTTAGTTTGCAAGTTTTGTTAGCTTTTTAACAATGACTGGAGAAAATCCGATTTTATCTTAATGTGCAAGGTCACTCAGTGTCTAGGACCGCGATTGTTACATTTGCAAAAGTTCATTTTAACGGACGGAACCAGATTGGCCGACCCTTACACGCTTACTCAATGATGGACGATCTGACAGGATTAACGTTAACCCTACCTCCTGTTGAGTGGCCTGACATCTGCACCTACCTGATAGAGAAACAGCATAAAGAAAAACTGAGGGCATATAAATATTTCGATGCCTAAAACTATATTTGCTGAATGGTCACATACACAACTTGTGTGGTACAATCCGCCAAGGCCAGAAAACGACCATGTAAAGAGTGACATACAGAGCAATTTTAATGATGTGAATATTTTGTAGAAATAAAAATTATAGATACAGCAAATTTTTTAACTTTATGTAGGCCTATTTGATTATTCTTTCTTACCAGGTTCTTCAAAAAGTCTAGACACAATCAAACAAAAATGTATACAATGATCATATGATTCACAAATAATCACAATAGTTTAGAAAACATGCGATAAAACTTCAAATTGGAGCCTGTATTACATCAATTCTTGCACCCAACAACACAACAAGATGACATTAGCCGCGTTTCCACTGCCGGGCCAGGGCCGGGCCGTGCTAGTGCGTGCCAGGGCCAGTCGCGTTTCCACTGTCACTTCCGGGGCTTGATCGGGGCTTACTCGGGGCCAACGGCCAGGATTTCTGGCCCGTCGAATACCTTGGGCCAAAGCGGGCCAGCTCGGGCTAGAGGAGTGGTTACGAACAGAGGCGGGGATTACCTGAGTCGAGAGACAGGAGCGCCGAATGATTCTGTCAGCATTAAAGACTTTTAAAATAATTTAACTCACTTTCATGTTTTAATGCCTTCTGTTTGTGATCTGATGTGGATTCTGATCACCGTATAAGGTAGAAATATGTATACGCGATGCAAAAGACTATGCGCGCTAACCATTACCATAGTAAACCTAGTAAACGCTTGAAGATACGCATAGTAAAAAAACATGGTGAACGCTTGAAGAAGTCAGACCAATCATAAAGGCTATCACAATCATGTTTTTATTTTATCTGTCAGTAGCCTACATATACTACATAGTAGTCTCTTTATACCGGACTATCTACTTTTTTTTCGGGAGCTTCCTGTTTCTCTGACTGAAAATATATCTGTAGCTACTGGGAGTCGAGACTGTGCTAACGCTCCTCAGGTCGTATTTTTGGTGGCATAGCCTATAACATTATTT